TTATGATACATTCAAGTGTAATAGCATTGGATCCGGAAATTTTTTCTGTGGGTGCAGATTCTCTTTTCTTTCTCTTCTAAAGAATTTAACACAGCATTCTTTCAACGTTAGTTTCACAAGATACAATTCTTAAAAAATTTAAACGGTCGAATAATGAAAAAATCTGTTGTCCCGAAAATGTTTGCCAATAAACATTCATAAATGCATTTGGGTACTTGGCGACTGTCGTTATTCGATTTTTCCGTTTGCCGTTATCGTTGCAGAAAGTCACCGGTCCGCTGCCGTATCTCATTAGCACGAATACTCATTGACGAGTTCGTTACTCCGTTCATTCACTGTCGGGGCAGGTCGCTCGCCTCTCTCGCAAACACAAACACTGCCGACACGCCGCCAATCGCGAGGAAAGTCAAGAAACATGCTCACGTGTACCGGTATACTGCTGCAACGGACGCGCGCAAATCGGTCATAATAATTCGCAACGGTCCGCGGTATCTTGCGGTACACCAATCCCGGTGGACTCGGAGAGACGCGCTATTAAAAGATGATTGTTACTATAATTACACTCGTATAACGCCCGCGTGTTCTGCGTGAACTATTCCTGCGACAAGTGCGTGACGCGGCTTAATACGATACTCTCATTTCTTTTTCGCTCCGGAATGAAGAAATCTTAATTATTCCAAGTACTCGATTCAACGCTAACTTCAGTCGGTCTTGTTATAATATGAGAGAAATCATTTTCGTTGTAATGACGCGACGATAGAGCCGCTTTTCAGTCAACTTTCTTTTTATCTTTTACGTTGCCGCAATGTTGTACGGTGTTAAATTACTCAATGAGCCGCCAATGCTCCTACACGAGATGTTAATTTAAATAATAGAGTTAAAAATCCATTAAACGGTTGAATAAAATACGTAGTTATGTTTTTGACAACAATTTGTGTTAAAATAATAAATTTCACTACACATGATAGATAAGAATAATAACATATTGAATAGGAGCAGTGGCGACTACCATTGAGTGAAATTTAACAGTGTAAAAACGTATTTATGAATAAACCGATATAATAAATCTTTTGTAAATCTGTTACGTTCATAGAATCTATTCAAAGAAAAATGTTACTATTTTACGTCAGTTCATCATTCAAATAAAAATTGATTTTAACGCTTACGTATCTTAAATTATTACATACATTGAATTCTTCTGTTTGTAATATTTATACTCGTTAAACAAATCATGTTACGCTAAATTATACTCAAATCAGATCTCCAAACGTACACTGAGACCCATTTTGTTGAATGAAATAAAATTTAGTTGACTCAACTGAATTGCTTGTTTGGATATGTGCAAGCCAATCTTTCAGTTGATACAACAAAAAAATTAAGTTGGAAAATTTTGTTATATCAACCCACAAATTTGGTGAGTAAACATGCGCAGAATCCTTTTATAATATTCAACTAAACGATTTAGTTCACGCAGCAAAGACAATTATTTAGGACGTGATGAGATGAACGAACTTGTTATCTCAACCATAAAATTTTGTTGTAATAAACAACTCATGGAAGCAAAATAGTTAGTTATAACATTTAGCTTCTTTTCATATTTTTCGTTTTATACAACCAAATTACATGCTCAGTTAACAAAATGATTCAATCAAATTATTTCGTTTTATTTAATAAAATGGGCCTCTCAGTGTACCTGTGGGCTAAGAGACGACAGTTTTGTTGCGATTAAAAAATTATTTTCACACGACAAATGAAGAACGAGATAAGTCAACGATTGCAGACGCCAAGAGCCTTAAAAAGAAGAGCTCGGCCGTGGAATGACGCAAATTATGTGGTGCGTAAAAAGTCGCGCAACAAAACGGCGAATGCTGCGAGCTCATTTTTACGTCGACGCCGCGGACGTTTCGGATAAAGGGTCTTGACTTCGCAAACCTGTCGGCGGCGGTTACCAAAGAGGCGGTCCGAGACGAGCGTGGGAGGACGCGAAAGGAGATCGGCGGCCGAACAGCCGCGAGACTTTAAAGTACGGCCCGGCCCGACCCGACCCGGTCGGGCCCGTATCCGCGAGTGATTCGTTTGGCCAGTTCCATGACGAAAGATCGAGTGACAAGCGAATGCGCCGACAATTTGCATACTCGTCCGTTACAATTACGGCTTGCGTCGCCGGCGTCAAGTCATTGCTCGTTAACGATGCCCTCCGGGAGACGGATTAAACCGGGATTGTGACACGTGACACGAAAGTTTGCAGCACCGCGTAACGAAAATATTCACGATCTCGAGCGAGAAACTGCATCGAACGCTTTCCATTATTCGACGTAGCTCTAGACTTCTGGAGTAAGAGAACGAGTATTTGACAACTAACAGAAAAAACGTCTTGGTCGTACAGTCGGGAGCACTGAGGTTGCGACACTTTTTTTTTGATAAGTTTACGAACGCGCAAAAAAATTCAAGATGCGAATCACTGTCCGCGCTCATGCGCGGTGAGTGATCATGGTGCTGTCAAATTTGTGTATACAATGTGTAACATAAATTCATATGCCGCGGTAAATCCATAATAAATAACATGATTATTCAGTTGATTCGTGTTAAGAGGATCCCGTAGCATGTCTGTTTTACCGACATTCGTAGTTCTAACCTATCGTCGTATTAAATTCATGGAATCAAAAATGCTTGCGTACAATTACAGTATATGCATTGATGATCCGGGGAAACTCCAATTTGATACCAAAAATGAGTAAAAATTACAAAATTCATATATCGATCACATATAACCGTGTAGACGAACTGTCAACTCCGTCATACTTGTGCTTCGTATAAAAGTTCTACAACTTGTACTCACATGAAAATGAGTTTCCCCGGATTCGATGACATGTAGAATTACTGTGAAACCCTCTAAATTGGGATTAGATGTTTAAAATAAGAGTATAGCTAGAATTAAACTTTCGTGTTTATGACTGGGTGTGATGTATCGTAGTAGTGTGTCCGTGTGCTCATGTATATGCTGCGTTTCGTGTTTAGATGGCGCACACCATCAAAGGCCTCGGCCTTGGGGGATCCTCTTAACTCGCTGTTGGATCAGATCTTTCGCCGGCTTGTCTCTTGGTTATACTAATGAATAATGTGGGATGATTTCTAAATACAAAATAAAATAAATATAATAAATTTAATAAATAAATAAATTAATTAATTAATTTAAATAAATTAAGTAAATAAATAAATTTAAATAAAATAAATAAATGACATTAATTTAATAAATATATAAAATGACCATGATACGTTGTCTTCACTAATATTTTTTTAAATTTGTGAATCAAATATCCGACGGCGATTTAGTAGAAAATTTCTTGATTAAAAACTTTTCATACATAATTATATACAAATAGCTGTATGGGGGTAATTATGCCAAATTGTGTATGAGATGTATCCATACCATAACTGTATTGTATAATTCTATGTGATTATATCTAACAATTCTTGTATAGCTTGCACTAGCTTCTCGACCATTACAAAATACTTAAACCATCAGGTATTTTCGGATCATTCAATTGATCCGTGTCGACTCGCTGTCGGATCAGATCTTTCGCCGGCTTGCCATACTAACGTGGGATGATTTCTAAATACCAGAGAGTTGTATAAGTTAGTATAAGCAAGTGGCAAGCCGGCGAAAGATCTGATTCGACAGCGAGTTGACACGGATCAATTAAATGATCTGAAAATACCTGATGGTTTAAGTATTTTGTAATGGCCGAGAAGCTAGTGCAAGCTATACAAGAATTGTTAGTTTTTCTCCGATCTCTCTTAAGTATTTTTTATATATAGATATATAGATACGGTTTTACTTGTATTTGACACGACTCCGTAAAAAGATCCCACTTGATATGGACCTGAACCAAAGGTCGAAACGTTGTGAAATCCAATTTAATAAATGTGGCCAGCTGGCAAGTTGCGACTTTCGTGAAGCGAGAGCCACTCCAGACCTCAGACATGGTTTGGTATGACCTTACCCAAATCCGTAATTTGAGTAAATGCGAGCAATAGGAACGATTGATCGCGTAAGAGCGTAACTCAATATATCACTTTTCAGAAATTGATATAGAGATTCCCGGCGCGAATGTATCTGTCGATTAAATCGCCACTTTTATACCAATATGTAATTTACGCTCTTTTGAAAACGAGCTTTCTAAACGGAGTCAATATTCTCCCTTGGAATTGAATCCGCGCGTTGAGGCGTGTATGAATTATCGCGGAATAAGCTGCGAAAATTCACGGGGAAGTCGCCGTTAAGTACATATCGCGGATTTTCAGTACTTTGTTCGGCAGGAAATATTTCCGTCGTAAACATCGTCGCGCAGCTTCGCGTATTCGCGCGAGCACGTGCACATCGGAATAACGTGACGGGTACACAGCGATTCTATTCACACGCATTAGAGTTCCCCCCGCAATGGGAACTCTTTCGCGCGAGCACGCACGGAGTACAAGTACCGATTCGATGCACGAGTAGCATTCGGATTTTTCGACGAGCGATGTGACATGAAGTAGCCACTTTACAAGGTACGCCGCCTACGCTGCACTTGAACCAGAATTTCAAGTTCGATGCGCTGCGCGAGTTTAGTCGCCAGTAAATCACGCGCGCCTGCATAAAAGCGTTCGTCGAGTGCGAGCAGCTGGCTTGTCGGCTCGGCAGAAGTCATTCGCGAGTTTTCACAGATCGCATACCTCCGATAGGCGGTCGTTCCGGAAACGAAATTCACCGGTCGCAATTTCTACGCTCGTAAAAAAGACCGTTCTTCGTCGACTCGTTAATAAATCTACCGCTGTGGCAAACAATTTTATTTGTCGACCACAGATTATTCAGCAGGAAGTACTCTCGAATCGTTGTTAAAGGAAGGACGAGACGTCGTTTAAATCGCTCCGCGAAAATGATTGGGAAGAGCTCTTTGCTCCATGCGCGTGCAAGTGAAAAACAAACGCAAAGATCGAAATCGTTTATAATCACTCACCGAATCCCATTCGTACTTCCTCCTCGTCGTCACTGTCGATGTGCTTGATTCCCGCCACTTCGAAGCTTTTCGCCGATTGTTCCTTTCGCGAAACGGAGGAGGAGCAGTCACAGTTGTCCTCGCCGGCGCCGCAGCCGCAATCGTCGCCGGCGCATCTGCAGCCCAATAACGGATCGTCCGTGTCTATGTTCCTGCACGCCGGACAGGGGAACGTCATATCGTCGAGCGAGACCCTCTCGATCTTCCGCTCGACGGTGACGAGCAGACTGCCTATGTATGCCGGCAGATCCTCGTCGCTGACGTCATCCGGACCGCCCGCGTTCCGCAATCTGTCCTCGAGATCCTTCGGCGAATCGTCGACGTTGTCCCGCCGCAGAACTCTTCCCTCCAAGTGCAAAGGACTCTTGAGATCCTCCGGCGCGATCGACCTGCTACGCATTTCGCACCTACTGCTCTCCTTCCATTTTTCCATTGTCGTGGGTGAGACCACCTTGGCGCACCGCTTCACTTTGGCGCGGCTCTCGTCGCCGCCGCCGATGGGACTAGAGGAATTCTTGGAGCGCGCTCTGCGACTCGAGCCTCGATCGAGCTCACCCTCGAGGTCTTCCTTCCACGCGTCGACGCTGGACGCGGACCTGGACTTCATCACCGTCGCGACGTGGCCGGACTCGCCGATCGCGCGGCAAAACTCGTGCTCCAGCCTGTCGATCGACCTGGCCTCCTCCCGACGATGCTCGACGCTGCTGGTTCTGGTTGTTTCGCGCGTCCGCGGACGCGCGTCCTCGCGCGATCTCCGCCGCGGACGACTGGCGGTTTTCATCACGCTCGAAGGTTGCGCTCCGCTGAGATTTGCGCCCGCCGTATTCGACGAGCTCGGCTGACCCTTGTTTGTCAGGTCCCGCCAGTCCATAAACTCGTCTTCACGGTCCCAACCCAAGATCCCCGGGGCCCTCATCGACGTAGTTCGCCAGACTACTGCTATCTGCGAACAGCAGCGGTTTTCACCATAACTCTGTGTCTCTCTCTCTACCTCTCTCTCCCTCTTTGCGCCTCTTACCTTTACCGTTTAATTTACTTATTTTAGAATATTGTGCCGAGAGAATTTCAACTTTGATACACGACGTTGTTTAAATGTAAAGTCGGTTCTTCTGTTAAAAGACGTAAAGTAACAATAATGATACCTCTTGCCAACTAAATTGTAAAAGAATTGCCAATAGACGAAAGAATATTTACTCAAACAGCACCTCAGTCTAAACTTTCATTACGAGGACATTAGTCTGAAATATTATAAAACGATGGGAAAAAATTTTTCGACCGCGGCGACTTTATCACGGGAAAGTTTATCGCGCATTAAAATATGCGTATTTCTTATCAAGCATCTATGAAAGCACATTGAGGAATGAATTCAACCGGTTTCTGCGTAACTCATTGTCACGGTAAATCAGCTAGCTCGGCACACTTCTGGGAATACGGGAAAGCGTTATAAGCGTGACAATACCGCGTCGGCATTCTCTGATATACGTCCTTTATTACCCGGCGAGGAGCTTAAACGCGGCATCTAATAATGCGCGTCCCATTACGCGGCCGCGTCCGATGACTGTTAATATTTATGCCGAGGATCTGTCGTGCGATCACGCGGCAGGAACGCTGGGAATTCCGGCCGGAGTCTTTTCGACGGTCGTTACGATGGAGGTGTCATTCTGTCGCGGCGGTACACCGGAGGACATCGCCGGCGCGCGCGGCTTCCTTGCGACGACTGGGAGGGGGGGGGGGAAGGAGGAGGGGGAGAAGGAGAGGAGAGAAGGAGAGAACAAAAAAATGAAAAGGGACATGACTCACCTCAACGGTATTTTGCTCGACGGCTTCACCGGCGGCCGTAGCGCCGCTGACCGACGAGGTGGTTGCAGTTGCAGTTGCAGCAGCCGCGCTGCGTACGCAAAGGTAACATTCCCCGAGACGCAGCGCGGACGCCTCGAGCTCGCCCAGCTGCAGGATCAGGCCGCTGCCGCCTAACGTCAGAGGCCAGCCCTCCGGCACCACCGCCTCGTTTCCCTGCAATCAGACAAATGGATCATGTCGTATCTCCCGTCTGATCGCTCTACGTGGATGCTTTCACACTAAACATCGTAATTTTCATCATGTACCAACGGTGCCGGCTAAACTCTTCCGCACACGTCGTTTTCCGAATATTCCGCGGGAGAGAAATTGCCGTGGAGAAATTGTTTCTTGAAGCAGGGGAGGACGGAAAACTAACAATAAGAATTAAATTGCAGCTATTAATCGAAAGCTACGAATTAAGCTAATTAGAATTGTTGCAGACGGATCGCACACATGAAAGCGGGGAGAATTTAGATGTAAGAGAGCGGTGCGTTAATCGCGTTGATTGCAAGATAATGTTGGATACACCCAGAATTAAGGCGACGTGCAGTCAGTCAGTCAGTAGCTGTCCTTTCTCTGCTGAAACGGCGATGAGGAGGGAATGCTAGTGCAATTTAATCGGAGTCAAAGCGTTTTGCGCAGCGCACAGCGGATGGGGAGTGCGGACCATTCCGCGCGGAATGTGTTAGCGCCGGAGATTGCATCTTGAAGTATTTTTACATTCCAGAATATTACAACATCGGCACCAGCGAGTCTAATCTTAATTGCGTTAATAACAGTTAAGTCGTGTGATAGTTTTAGCATGATTCCAAGTAAAAAGAACTGTAAATTATGCAACAATTATGTTCGCAAAATCGATTGATAAACGACCCTTTCGGACTTTATAGCAATATTCTCTTCTTCTTTCTAAGAAAAGAGATGTTACCGGCGTGAATGTCGTTAATATCGAACAGTTGAGGCTTTTTTCCGTGAAGCCGATTTTCTCAAAGCGCGGTGTACTTCACCTCTCTTTCAGGCTTGTGTCACTTCTTTTGTTCAGGTTTGATGTGTCATGTTTCTCCTCGGTTAACCTTGTTAACCATTTGTTACGCGTAAACATTATCACGAGGAAATAAGAGAAATAAATAAATCGCGCAGGTATTCTAGCAAGGGATTAAAAATTAAATAATGCCATCAATATGCAATGCTAACTGTCGGTAATATCGGAGGCACTATCGCGATGTTCATTACTAGACTACCTCGGCACGCCGTCGTTTAATTTAATATCGGCCCTTACGGCTCGTATCTCCTCATCTTTGAAGAAGAGATCGCCGAAGGTGCGAGGCTCCCTCTCTCCCTCTCTTTCGAGTGCACCTTGCAATAACGCCTACATACACACGTCGACCCGCGACTACGTCGTGTAAGCAATTAGACGGCAGGATAGCGCAAATAAAGGGCGGCAATTGAATGCACACAACGTGCTTCGCGTCCGTAATTAAAAGCAAATGGAACGCACCCGTTCGGTCGTCCACGATTTTCATTATCGAGACCGAGAGGCGTGCGCGCGACTGCATTCCGCGGGGAAATGAAACTTTACCAAATGGAGTCGGTCGATCGGGAGGCCATTCGATGACGATTCGTCGATGCAAAGCTTATTAATTCGCGGCAAAAAGAAATAACCCCGTAGTGCAAAAAAGTTTACACATTTTTATTCGATTATTCTCCACCTCATTTTTTCCAAGTTTGTTCTTATGTACCATATACTATAATATAATATATATAGACTATTTATGCCTGTAAAGGTTCACATTGAATTATTAATATATGTAAATATTCTTATATACAGGGTGAGTCTTTCCATATCCGACAAATTTTTTGAGAAGGTAGAACGGATCGAGATGAACGGAAAAGTCCTGTACCATTTTGCAATTTTCGTAATAGTTAACGAGTAATTAATTATTAAAAATCGTTGTCTTAGGCCGGCCTACCGCCCAATTCGAGCGCGTGGCAAGATGTGACCGCCCGGCGATCGATATTGCTATGCGCACATCTCGCCACGCG